CCTTCTTCGAGTAGAGGAATCTCCAGAGGAATGCTCGTGCCCGAAGATATCACGCAGCCGCCGAGAAGAAAGAAAGTAAGAAGAAAAATCTCTCAAGTTGACAAGAACGTGACAAATAATTCGCGTTTTGATTCGAAAAAACTCGGGAGCGAAGAAATTATTAATGAAGAAAAGGAAGAAGAACCTGTGGAATATCTAAAATTAAACAAAGGTGATTTAGACGACCCAAAATTGTTGACAGAAGTAACAAGCAGCCAGGCGAGTCAGTTATCTAATGGAATGAAGGAAGTTCCTTCCGCGACTGAACAACGTAAAAAACGCCGACGCAGGATATCGAAGAGCAACTTTACGATTTCCCTCGATAATGAATCTGCCGAGTCTGTTACTAAGCCCACCAAAAAACGACGTAGAAAACCTGAAGCTTCGACAACAACGTCGCCTTCGGCGAGCATCGATTTTGGCTCGAAAAAATCAGTTTTTATACCCATTCGAAAAAGATATTCAAAGAAAGACGAGACGACAAATAGATCGGATTTTACTGATAAGACTTCAGCAGCTAAAACAACTAAAGCTGATAATTTTCAGGTAGAAACTTCGACTCCGAAAACACGAACGGTCGAGCATCGAACGAGAGTCTCGAAAGAGAAAATCGTTACGAAGACCACTTATCCAAACGAAACAGAGAGCTTCGATTCTATGAAGACGAGTATGACGTCTGTTCGAAAAGAGCCGGTGAAGAGAATCAAAGTGAGACGCAGAAAGATTAATAATAATCGAGGTGATAATAATAAAAATTCAGATAATAAACAAGAATTAATAAAGCCAGAGAACAAGGAAGAAAATTATGAAGTTAAGTTTGTTAATGGAGATGAGATTAAAAAATCAGTGATATTAGATAAACCTCAGGATAAAAGTAGAGATGTTTTCGGACATTTTGGGATGAAAAAAGAGGAAGTTAAGAAGATAAATGATTTTGGCACTTACGACGGGATCGTTAACGATGAGAATGATAATGACGGCAGTGGCTTTGGGATACCTTCAGAAGTAAGTTTGTCACCGCACGACAGGACGGTTCAGCTGGCCGAATATGGCTCCAGACATATGATGTCCTCTATGTCTTGGATTTCAAAAAATTACGATTACTAAGGCACGAATTTTTTCTTATATTTTTTCGGACAATGCATTTTATTTAAATTAAGAACGGACAAGAACGAAGAATATAGCATTACAATACAAAATATATTAGAACTTTAGAAACGTGAGATCAAGTCATTTATCTATAATCTGTAAAATATATATACAAAAATAATGTCTCATACAAATATCGTGTTTTAGGCGCGAAGTAATATAATTTATAATGTCATAAATTTAGTATGAAATGACTTAAATTAAAATTAACTATATGAATACATGTATAATTATACGTCCAATAAACTCATTCAGAGTTCATTCATGAAAGTTTGTGATTTCAGATCTACGCAGTACGCAGCTTAATACAGAATATTCCACCGAATCGAGAAAGAAATAGAGCTAACGAAAGAACTGAGAGTGTATCGAATAGGAGAACTGAAGACTGGAAGGAGCGAAATAACAGCAAAGAGGCAAACGAAAAAGAAAAGAAGGAAGACGTGGAACAAAAGCGGAAGCCGTTATTACAGGCCAAGTTTATAAAGGATCCAGAGCATAGGCTGTACTATTACGTAGAGCGTAAATAATTGGGGCCGACGTATTTTTCGTTTAATTATATAAACAACAAGAGAGACATTTCTTATTTCTATACCATAAAATCATAAATTGATATACGAAGTTTATTTAAAAATTTGTTGATAACTATACATTTTGGCTCTTTATTTTATATTTCTTTTTATTTTATAATAAATAGTAATGTACAAGTAAATTCGGTCATATTTATCAGGAAATTAGAAATTGTCATAAACGCACCAAAAAATTGATTATAAAAACAAGCATTTTTATAAATTTTAAAATGTTTGCAAAAGAAGACGCGGCGCAAAGGTAACTTTGAACAATTGCACTCGAGTTTGTTTGAATACGCACAATATTCTTAATGTTGGCAGTAGTTGCCGTAGCATATTTTAGTTAATTAATCTTTGTTTTAGAGAAAGCGCATTTTAGACGCGGATGATTAAGCGCGATCCAATCGAGGGTGTTGTAATAGTTTCTTCCGACCTCTAATTACGTTGTTGTATATAGACTAGAATACTTTTGTTAAATAAATGTTACGGAGGGGGATTGCATAATGCCTCACTCGAAAGCGTCACCGTATCCGTTTTTTTCGACAGCGCAATTGTTGCGCGGCCTACGCGCGCGCGAAGAAATCGTGCGAAACACCGGAGAAATTATATCTCCTGTCGCTTGGCGAAACAAAAAGAAACCTCGTTAAGAGTTGAAATTTTCTGCTTGCTCATTCACAATGCGCCGGCAATAATCGCTATCTTTTTCGACCTGACCGGTAACATGATTCGTCCACTTTCGCGAACTTTGAGCTGATGATTTCAATATTAAACTCTTTTCCACGAAAGGTGTATAATAATTAATTATACAATGATGCAAACGTGGACATTCGTGTGATGTTATATTATAATACGCAATATTTTATACGCAGAACAGAAGAGAAAGCCAATAATTTGGAATCTTTTTCGTGATAATTTCCAACAATTATTTTATCTCTATATATGATATATTGATCTTAATTATAGCGGTACAATAATTTAGTTTATGTTTAGATATTTCGTTGCATCTTTAACAGTAGTGCTTTAGGACTTATTTAACAAAACTGTTTTCTCTCATTAAAAACTCTTTTAATCGACCATTGTATCAATTATTTCTATACGTAATTATAATAGTTATTGGATGATTAAGCGCGTTTTTTATTAAATTGATATTTTTTGTTGCTTTCTCTTCTATAATTATAATACTTCGTCAGCAATATTTATCATCATAACAATCACTGCGATTCGTGAGTCTGCTGGATTGTTAACTTTGTTATACGTAATCGCAAACCGTCTTTGAAGAGCGGATACCCTTGATCTATTTTTCATCGCATGAGCGCGATAATCTTTTCGTGCAGCTTAATAAGCGACATATTGATAATAACACTGTTATCTGTCTGCATCTATTAACGAGGGAAACTCAGGATAATTATGTCAGAGGAGAAGCCTGAGAGAGGCCTCTACATTATTGTACAAATTGATTTGTTTTTATGGGATAAAATTGTAATTAATACTCGAAATATAACAACTAATTTAATATAATATATATAACTAAATAAATGCGAAGTCAAGTTTAGCCAAAATGCATTTGATCGCATGATACTCAATAAAAGCAGAACAGCATTATAAAAAGAAAATTAAGGAATAAAGAGCATCGAGCCGTAACGGGATGTAAGTGTTAATATATTAAATGTATTACAAAATTACAGACGTGCCGTTCAAAATCGTCGGGTTTTCGGGAATACCGTGGCGCGAATATAGTAATTAACAATTAATACAGATTAATACAAATATTATTTTGATAGAAATAGGATATCAATTAAGAAAAATAGTTTTCTTTAAAAGAATCTATATTTTATTTAAGTTTCTATTATTTTTTACATGCAATGTTTTAAAACAATTATATTCCTGCAGATATAAAGCTATTGATCATTAAATTATCCGAGACGCATAAATGACTCATTTTTACTTAGGTCACGTATACGACCGTTAATGTAGCAGAGAGAAAGAGAACTCCATCTCACCTTACAATAATGGAATTCTGTGTACCGGAAAGGAAATGTACGTGGTTTTTACCGGTGACTATTATAGGAAAGAAGTATCAGTCGTTCAAACATGCATGACGAATATATATATTTATCGTGAGTAATTTGTCATTGTCAGATTACACACGTGCAGATATAGTTCAAGATTTCTAGTTCGAGCTTCTCCTTTTCGCGATAAACGTCCAGAGACAATGACATTAATAAATACAAATCTTGTGAGAAGTAACTTGATTATTTCACTTCGAGTTTAATGACAGCCCACGAATGAAAGACAGCGAAGTCATTCGCATTAAAACATTGTTCCTTGACATTTAAAGTGACAAAGCAATTTGCTTAAGAAATCGCGTGTGATGCTCAATTATTTCATGTAATGTGTTTTTTTCGAGATGTTCCTATACGCGATTATAGGTAATAATATAAAAATATTAAATCGACTTAAATTACAATTATCTGACACGATTCTCTCGTTTCCAACAAGATACTTTCCAGGCATTTTCTCTCTGAGTAGGCGGCGCTAATGTCCATTATAAAAGAACATTATGCGACAATAATAATCGTATTATATTAGATACTTGCGAGATGCTTTCTCGGTGAGCATCCTCACATGAAAAAAATAATCAAAACTGATTATGCGCAGGTAATTAATTAAATACAAAAAATTAATTTTACATTGGTATTACTTAAATAATGTACGATATATCCACATTTATGTCATATAGAAAACTTTTTTAAAAAATGTGCTATAAAGTTTTTAAATTTTATTAAATTTATTTACATATTAGTGTGACCTTAAACTGAAACAATAATTCACCTTCTTTGTAAACTTTATACCGTCTTTTACTATCATCGATCTTCCGAGAACGATTTTGGCAAATCCTACGAGTAAAACTTGAGCGCGTTATTACAGCTATATTTGTATGTCCTTCCTATTTATTAACTTAACTGCATCTAATCTAAAAGGACATCGTTGACATTTGTTCTCGTTCGGCGAGGACGCGCGTCATCAACATCGTTAAAACCGCAAGCGGGCACAAAGAGAAAACAATGTTCGCCGAGGAAGTCGGTCCTTGGTGCATATGTAGGATATATAAGACTCAGCGCACCGATGTGAGAGGTGGCTGCGGTGCTCCAAGGTTAAGGTGCCACAAGGTGGGCCCCACAATATCCTCTCGCACGCGCTCCGATAAAATCCTAGACGGAGGAATAAAACGCGCGCGATCGAAAGGGAACGCTGATTGTACGATTGGCCAACTTTAAAACGCGCGTCACGCCGCAACGTGTATATAATTCGATTCTTGCCTTTGTACTCTAGTTTTACCTACGCGTTTCGTACGTGTCGTGTTCCACTGGAAACATGCTGCCCGCCAAGGTACGTGAACACCAAGGCGCTTTGTGGTCGAAAATAAATTATAGTAATCTCGAAGGTGGTCGTATCGACAGGGACATCGCGCGCGCAGGATGTGAAGTTTCTCGTAATTTTATGCGAAAATAATACCTAAGATTTGATGACGCTCTTGATGACAAATTAAACACGCTCAATATTCTTTAAAAACATATTAAATGTGTCATGGTATTATATTTTTTTATTGTAGAAAAGCGTTATACTAAAAATAATGCTGTTTAACGTCGTTTGGTTGGACATTAAAAATAAATACATAATATTTAGCAATATCTAAAGATGCGGGTTTGCGCAACAAAGTGTAGATTGTCAACAAAATCTGAAAAACTGGCATGCAAAACACGATACACTTTCTATAGGTGATTGCCTAATAAGATTTATTTTAATGCGACTAGTTCGAGGTCATATACCTACGCGATACAAATCTTATTTATTAATTGAATAGTGATGACACAATCGTAACAAATTATACGTTTAATTCATGAATAATCACTTAAATATCGTTTCTACTGTATAAATCACCGCATTGTTACATAATTGAAGAAATGTACGCATTGCAGTATACGCACGTACGGCAAACTCTCATCATTTTTAAGTAATTCACTTTATGGAGAAATATACAGATCATAAAATAATATTTTACTAATGTACTATTAATAATACTTTTAGCTTTAGAATAATTGAATCCATTTAATTAATTTAATTTTATCTAAAAAATAGATTTTTCTCATAAATTATTACGTAAGAGTTAATAATAAAAATTATAGAAAATTCTGTATTATGTACATTTTTGCCAACAAAGAAACATCATTGTAACATACGTACTGGAATAAATTATATTGTAGGTATCATTTTCCTGGCATAGTTATATAAAGATATTCTCAAACACGCATTCAAGTCTCTGGATCAGGATTTTTCACATGTGATTTTCTGCAGGTCACTCTGCTATTTGGAATCGTGGCACTATTAAAATTATCGACAGTAGCACCAGACAGCGCAGGGTTAGTGGAAATGGTGAATGGATTGGCGTACGGTAAGTAAGACTCCTATTTCCCAACTCTCTCTTTCTAAAAAATTCAAGAAAAAATCCTAAAATAATTTATGAAGATTTATGTAATTATAATTTTATATTTTTATAAAATAATTATTAAAATTTAATTAGTTATATGATTCTATTTATTAAAATTAATTTATTTGGACAACAAATAATTTATATAGAAATATTTACAACTCGTGTTTTAATCATTTTTATATTAAACTAGATATTTATATATTAAATATTTGTTGGATAAGTAAGTTAAGTAAAGTATTTTTATTCTTTATCTTTGAGTATGATTCAGATTGGATTCCAACAGAAAGCAGCACTAGTGATCATTGATGACTAAATCTTCCTTCCTTTCACTCGACGAGAACAGTAACATATTGGATGTTACAACCACGCATTAACATATAGCTTAAATTAATTTATTTAACTATTTATTAATAAATATACACTGGTTTAATGTACAGTATGTACACTATTTATCTAGAATATAAATCAGAGTTGCTTTCTACAAAGTAATTGCTTTATAAATTATATAGCAAATTTATATAAAATTATTTATTTAAATCCCATCAGATTTACTTCAGACAGTTAGATCATTCTCCAGACATCAGTGATTAAGGAAACTGCTTTACATATCTCCGAGATTCTTTTGAATCACATATAACGTTGCGTGAAATTCTTTCGCAGAATAGTTATTTATAGAAGACATTAATTAAAGGACTTGTTTTGTCTTGTTCGTAAAAAATAAATGTTTACAGTTTATAACTAAAGTCTGATGAATTCTACAAATGTATAATTAATTTTTTACGCTACCACGAACATCAAATTACAATTCTAAAATTACAATTTGTGAAAATAATTTACATTTGTTATAAACATTTAATTTATTGTTCGGAAATGTTAAATAAAGACAAAACAGCGTGACATTATAATCAACATATCAAAGTTATTTACATGAAAGAATTATGCTCAAAGCTTTTAATTTATTTATTACTTGTTTTATTGTATTATTCTCAATTGCAACTGTTGTAAATACTATCTAATAGTTTTACTAATGTATCAATATAATGTATTCATTCAACAGGTGGGATTCCCTATGGAAGCGTAAGCGGCATGGTGGCCAAATATCCGAGATACGGATCCGGGATTAATGCTCAGCCTCAAGACAGACAATTCAACATTTTAAGCAACACTCAACGGCCAGTAATAATTACACCGAATTTTCGAGCGACTCGGCTGATGGGAATTTCACCTCGACCCGTGCAAATTTACAATCTACCCGGTGTCATCGCCCCCGGTATCGTCGGCACGATCAGTCAAATCGGTTATTAGTTTGTCGGATTGTTAGAGCGACCGCGCTATCAATCATCAGATGCATACATCAGTCAGTCGAACTTCTCTCTCTTCTCACGATGAAGCTCTTCAACGAGGAACGCATGTCAAACCACCCGCATCGCAAAGTTGTATCTTGCAACATACTATTATCCATCTATTATCCATTATGATAAAAAGTAGAAACGATCGAATGAAGTATTATTAGTTTGTGGTTTTTGCTCAGTTAATTTATGCCGAAATTAAAGTTGCACGATGGCTCTCGCGTAATTTATCCGTAATTGTGTGTGGATATTCATTATTTAAGAATATATTCTTGTAAGTTTTAGTTGAAACTAAAACTTTGCGGTATAATATTTTATACATTATTTTATATTTGTATGCTACTACATTTATTGCCATATTAAATTTATAATATCCGGTACTTATTTATATAAATACAAAGAAGGATGAAGTAATATTTTATAGATGCTAAAATCTGCAAGCATATATATAATCTTTTACTTATAAATTTGATAAAGCTTATTGAGTAATCAAAAGATGTGAAGATTATAATTTTATGATCCACCCTTACACCCTAGCACTCATAATCGAGGGTAAAAGGCGTTTAAGGAGAGAAAGTATAAATGACATCGGACACGATGTCTGTCCCTTAGTCGTCTCGAGTCGCACACACGATGCATTACGCGTCGCACGTGAGTATTCTTGCATGTAAAACCCGTCAGTCGTATAGGGAAAAGCAACAAAATTGCAATTTCGTAACGATCCGTGATAGCGCGATAAATCATCGTAAATAATAAAAATTCATCGTGTCAAGATTTGTGTAAAGTGTCAAGTTGCGGAATGTCTGTCGAAATGCATTTCTTGCTATCTGTATTTCTTTTTTATAATCGAGTAGGCAGGAATAATTCGTCGCACAGTTATTCTCAGCGTGATTACATGTAACAACCAAATAGATCTTTGAATAGATTTTTGAATTTATTAACGAGGATGTTATTGGTATTTTATTTTGTTGATATACTCGCCTTTTAGTATTGTAACACATAATTTAAACAGCTTAAGAATTTTTGTATATTATAAATTGTTATAAATTTTAGGTATTATCTTTAGGTATATTTTATAATAAAAGAAAATATATTCTGTTTTTGAAACAGAGCTAATAAGGAGGTTCATTCTATTTAATTTTTGAACTTTATTGGTGAGGAGTACGTATGTGTATGTTCGTATTACTATAATATCAAAAATAATTTTCTTGCGTATAAATATATGCAGGTTTTGTGTTAAAAAATATTTAAAAAAGAGTACAGATATTTAAATTACCTGTATTTAAAAAGTTAAAAAAATTGCAATTTTATGACTTATTTTATTCACTTTAACTTCAGTAGATCGTGTACATTTCACAATTTGAAGATATTTCCGGTTTGATTTAAGAAACAAATATATTATATAGAAATTTAACAATTGTAAACGCATTATCGAAGTATGTAATTTCATTGTATGTAAATTCAAGTATGTAATTTTTTTTTTCTTTTCACACGAAAAATTTAGAGATGTCAATCTAATTCCTGATTGCAATAGTGATGATTCACTAATGCTACGCAGAGAAATGCAAGCAAGCACGTGCAAGCAAGAACGCGTGACTCGCGAAAATTAATCTCGTGAATAAATATACATGAATGGAGATTCAATTTTCTTTTAACACTCGTTGAATAGACGATACGTTATTATTTTTCATGCAGCAACATTTTTTACATTTCAGTTTTTGCTTATCTTACACGTGTGCCATTATCTTGTAGCAGAAACGTATTTTTGCATTTTCTTTTAATAGATTTTAATAAATATTTTTAGAGCTTTTTTTGGGATGGATTAAATTCCATAGAAATAAATAAAATACTAATAGTAAAATAACATAACGTATATTTAGTACACATATACTGAGATGTAAATTTCGCATTTATATATTAATATCACAGTGTTATGCGAAAGTCTTATTATCCATTTATGTCGATATCTACATTAAAAAATATCTTCAAATTATTCCTTCATAACTTTGTATTTGATAAAATAACGGGTAAGTAATAATCGGTGAAACATCCATGCATAACGCAACATAACAATGCCTTCTCTTATACGAGTATCTTACATAAATTAGAATGAAATTTCCAATTACAACTTTTGTTAGTGAATTTCTCTTTAGAGACTTTTTTGGAGATATTAAAATTTGGAGTAATTAATATTTATTAATTACTTTCTCAGGGACTAGTGCCAGAAATTTTTACTTATTTTGCAAATGTTACCGTTACAATCGGAAAGTATAACTTCACCGAAAATTTCATATGCAGCTCGAACAGCGTTTCCGCAATGTGTATGCCACACAAAAATGCAGATCGGCGTGACCGCACACAGACCGGTTCGATTCTATTATTATAAGAATCAAGTTTCGCATGACGAGACGCGGTAATAAGCATATCCAAGACTGATATTTGCTTATGTGTGTGTGTGTGTGTGTGCCGGCGCTTCTTTTTACCGAGATTTTGCAAAACCCTGCTGGAACGATGCGTTGATCGTCAGATTTACATGCATACGCGTCTCTCCTTACGCAACGGCAAATAAAACATAATTCTATGGGGAATATTGCGCCGGTCACGCTACTCGTCGTGCGTTACGCAGTTCGTATTTTTGTGGGAAATCACGGATACCGAACATCGCTATAATTAAATTATCTCATGCATATCAAATATCGGATACCGAACATAGCATATAAAAAATTATTTAGTTATATTTTATATGTTAATAATTTTGATTATATTTAAATA